AAAAGTTTTGCGAGGGAACGCAAAGTTTCTCGAGGGAACGCAAAAGTTTTGCGAGGGAACACAAAAAATCTGACAAATATTTTTTCCTCCCACCCCAAATTTTTTCACTCAATCTGATTTTTTTCGACCACCATGTCCCTTTAGGGGCTCCGTACCCAGCCAATAGTTTTTGTTTGATTAAAATCCAGCCATCATTCTTTAGTTTAATTTTAAAGTTTATTCAAACAAAAAGTGCATAGTGTGACCCATTTTACTTGTGTACGAGTACTTTTTCCAACATTTCCAGCACATTATAACAATATAACCTTATCATTTTGGCCACTATAATCATGATATGAAATTTTCATACTGTTTAATTTTTAGTCTGAAGCTTAATGATGGTAACATTGAAGTCATTCAATTTTGGCGTAGTTCACCATGTTTTTATATTTAGGCTTCAAACTTCATAAAAGTTTATTTTTGACAATCATCAAAACATGTAAGACTCAAACTTTTGTTGGTCACAGATCTTACAGTATTTTCAGCAGTAATCCAAAAGCCAATGGAAAAATCCTACTGGGCTTTTGTTGAAAGAATCAGAATGATGCGAACTGACAAGTTGGCCTACAAAAACACGTCAGCACTGTGTGCCTCTGTTAGTGCCTATAAATAAGCTGTGCTGATTTTGATTTATCCAGTGACTTGAATAGTTTGATTCTGTCCATCAAAATGTTTTGTACACTGATTCTTTCAGTGACTCTTTCTGTAGGTTACAGAAAGTTTCGTCTTATTAATTACATAGCACTTTTAATGATGCTTAGCAAAATTTGTGGGCAAAATCCAGTCATTTTACGAAGGATCCACACTATTGTGAGTTTCAGTGAGGGGGAAAAGGTTCCACACTCAGATTTCATTCATTCATGTTCAAGCTAATTTTTATGTTAATGTTCTTTTTTAATGTTTTTGAGTGTTTTAAGTCTCTTCAGTTTTTATGCTCACCCAGGCTGCATTTATTTGATCAGAAATACAGTAAAAACGGTAACATTGTGAAATAGTATTACAATTGAAAATAACCGTTTTCTATATTTGGTAAATGCTGTGAACAAAGCTGAATTTTCAGCATCATTACTCCAGTCTTCAGTGTCACATGATCCTTCAGAAATCATTCTAATATGCTGATTTGCTGCTCAAGAAACATTTCTGATTATCAACAACAGTTGTGCTGCTTCATATTTTTGTGGAAACCATGATATACTACCATTTATGTTTGTGGTACGAAATTAGTATTATTCAGCAAGATTTCTGAAGGATCATGTGACATTAGAACAGTAGTCCTAAATCCTATTAATATTTTTGCTTTGAAAAGTTAATGTAAGTGTTTTAACAAAAATACAAACTGCACACTTCTGCTTTTATACCCCATGAATACTGTAGACTTGCATTGTAAAGCATATTCTTACATGATTGTCTGTTTTTACAAGGAAAAGTATTTACAACTTAAATAAGTAAAACATTTATAGATACAGAAAGTATAAACCTTGTTGCTCCATCAAAGACATTGCTCTGTTTGTCTTTAACGTAACCTTTTTTTTAAAATACATTTAAAAGCAACTAAATATGTATATAAATAAAAAATATGTATATACACATTTTTATGGAAAGCCGTTGACTTGTTAACAGTAGCTTTTAAAAATCTGTAAAAATGTTGTTGAACAGTTATCTTTTGAATATATGAGGTGTTTGCCTGATGTTTGCACATGCAAGAACAATGCCATGAACGGAAATAAAACACACACCAAACATCAGTTGAGCCACTTTTATTTCATCCAGTCATCTAGAGACATGTATTGCAATGACACTTTCCGGCTTGGCAATTCTGTTTTTGTGTCCTTCATTTTCTTTACTGTTTTTCATAAATTCATGTCATCAGTTTGAATCCTTCAAAATCAATCCACATGCCTGCTCAGTGTTGAACAAACTTGGGCAATTTAATCTAGAGTTTCAAGGTTGCTCCTTTTTTTTTTTTTTTTTTTTTTTTGTTTCTCTGAAATGAGGTTCAGCATGATCTCTAGACATCCATTATAACTGCAAATAAAAGACGGTATTTAAAAACACAGACCTAAAAAGGATTTTCAGCACTTAAAACACTGAACAGAAATAGATTAGCATTAGATTTTAATAAATAAATAAACCAAGCGGGAGTTACTGTTAATTTATATAAATTTGAACAGATATGCACCCACAAAGAGTAATGTATACATTTAAGAGCCGAGGATAACTAGAACATCTGAAATCATTTTTTTTTTTTTTTTTTTTTTTTAAAAGAGTTGTTTGCTTATCTTAAGGTTTCTGTGCTGCTCAAACCCATCAGTCTCTTTCAAACAACAGCCTCAAAGACCCTTCCTAAGGCCTGTTTCTATCTTATTATTCTCTTACAATTCTAAAAACAAAACCTTACTACTAAATACTTCATTGATGGCTTCTGTGCTCTAGTAAACAAAGGTATAAATGATAACACACATCTATTAATACATTTTAAAATATTACAAACTAAAATCATTTATTTTTCATTGGTCATTTAGTTTTTGGAAATGGTTCCTTATAGTCCATTTAATAGGGTCTCAAAAAATGTCACAATTCCTATCCAAATGAGAATTTGGTTTTAAATGAGCTAATCCATTTAAACAATGGTCCTGAAGTATATTTATTAATATTTAATAAAATATTACTTATTTCTTTAGATTGACAAGTGAAATACTTGTTTCATAAGATTCACCCATTAATCAGGATGTGTTGTTCTTTAATGTCAAAATATTAAATATTTTGACTATTCATAATTTCAACTTTTTTAATTTTAACAAACTATTGCCCAGTGAAAAATAAAATAAAATATCCCAGTGCACATGATTTTTCATTTCTGAATGTTAACATTTATTTTTAATGCCAAAACACTTCATGACCTGAGACAGAAAAAAAAAAATCTAAGTCTATAATCGACATAATCTATATTTTTGTTTTAACTTTCAACCAGTTATTAGTTTGTTAATATGAATGTTAAATGCCAGTCTTTAATCTCATCAAACACCTCTCTTAATATACTGGTTCTGTACTTCACTGATGGCTTCGCAAAATTTCTTTGCATTCATATTTATCTCAACACATACAAATATGGTCTTAAAAACATCTGATTTCTCAATTCTTCTATGCATGTTCCCATTCGCAGTTTGGTCTCTCATTTTGTATTGTTTGTGTCTGGTCATGTGATATTAAGTGCTGATCTTTTCTCTGTTGTTTGCATGTCATCCTTGTGTTACCGCAAGACTACGGTCCAGTCTGCCGCTGCGTTGACCCCTGGCTTACGTAGAGTCAAAACTGCAAGTGTAGAGTCAAACTCAAACTCTAAAGCCGACTCTGTACCATCTGAAAAAGAGACAAAAAAAAAAAAAAACCTCCATATGTTGTGCAAAATCAGTGGTTTTCAGCAGGTCTTACTTCAGGACCCAAATTTACTTTGGACAACTCAAAGTATCAAAATGTTTATTGTACAAAAGTGGAGAAAAATATTTGTATTACTATCAGCTGTAAATATAAGTACAACTGTGTAAGTGTTTGGTTTCTAAATTTTGTCAGCATCCAATAAATCAATAAATAACTGCACAAAACGCATTTTTGACAGCAAAAACCATTATCCTTGTTGTATGTGAATCCTTATTTAAAGGGATAGTTCACCCCCCCCAAAAAAAAAAAACTTTTGTCATTTACTCTCCCTCAATTTGTTCCAAACCTGTGCGAGTTAGTTTCTTCTGTTGAACACAAAAGATACTATTTTGAAGAAGGCTGGGAAACAAACAGTTGGCAGTAGCCATTGACCTCCATAGTATTGAAAAATGGATACAACTGACTGAAATGGATACAGTCAACTGTTACCAACATTCTTTAAAATATTTTCTTTTGTGTTCAGCAGAAGAAAGAAATTCACACAGGTTTGAAACAACTTGAGAGTGAGTAAATGACAGAATTTTCAGCAAACAGTCTTTAAACAGTCTGGGTTATATTTTCTTGTATCTTTTGCAGTGATGTTCTACCAAATTATTTTATTTAAATTTGGTTTCATATTTTTTGATTGCATGGACTTGGACATTAAGGGTATGTTTTCGTGACAATGATCACTGTACTTAAAACTGAAAAGTGTTTCCTTTGACTTTTTGAAAAATTCTGCATACAGACGACAACATTGATGATCCCCGATGATCCCCGTTCACACAGATGCTTGAAAATAACTAAAAACACAGTATTATTCATGCTAGGCCAGTAGGTGGTCACTTTGTTAAGAAACACTACACCAGTGGCGTTCCGTCCATATAAGCTGCGAATGCTCTGCATACCCAGGCCATTTGAGAGAATAAGTTCACGGGGTTATTAATATAAACATGATTATAAGTTGATCCCTTGTCATTTAAAATGTAACTTAAAGGTGACATATCATGAAAATCTGACTTTTCCAGGTTTTAAGTGCTTTAATCAGGTCCCTGGTGCATCTACCAACCAAGGAAACGTGAAAAAGATTAACCCAATCACTTTGTTTTGGTAAGCCTTTTTCTGCAAGCGTCTGAGAAAACGAGCGCGTTTGATTTTGCTCACTTGGTGACGTGGCAAAGGGATCTCATTATAATATTAACGCC